GGTATTCTCAACCGCACCAGCCACAATAAGGCACTTTAGTGCAACACCCCTGGCTTACCCTATTTGGATTCCACAGTTAGAGACCTCTTGCGGCTGCGTTCACTGCTCAGTGTACTAGATTACAGCTTTCGCTTTTCACATGATGAACCCACAACAGACCCAATATCCCTTGTTATTCCCACCATGACCACCAGCACTTCCTCTGCACTCAAAATTGCTACCTCCACTCTTCCCCACATATTATCCATAAGCCCCTCCCATTGTAAACCACAACCCTGCCCCACACCACAACTAAGTGGGCCAGATCTGACAAAACTATATTTATACATACCTTCAAGATAGCAGCCCAGACCTCGCAAGTAAAACTATGTAGGGGTCTATTAACACACAGGGTCACACCAACAGCCCATGTAGGGCTGTCTATCCTGCAGTTCTTCCTAGTGATCAGCCCCTTGTGTTAATTCCTTCCAAAATACCACGAGCCTCATTTAGGCTAAACTAACCCTCTAATCTAGACCCTAAATGGGGCACCCTGTGGGCAAGTATCAAAATAATTAACTCCCCATGGGAGTACTTTCAAAAGGCTAACAATTCTACTAGAACACGAAAGGCAGAACCTCACCCTTTATGTTCACTGTCCCTTAATGGTAAACAATGCCTCATTCAAACTTTTTTTTGTGGACCTAACTCAAGAGGCCAGGAGCAAGTCCATTTGATCTTGCCCCATATGCAAGCAATCCACAAGATGACCCCTATTACTGCAACACTGTTGTTACCTTTACTATCCCAGCCACCCTTTACCGTCTTGGCATTTCTCTGCTACAGAAATGTAGGGAAAATGGAGTCAGTTAGGCCCCCTCGTTGGACAACAAGTGCCCAGTGATGCAGCAATATTATCCTGCATGCACAATACCCCTGTTATGTAATGACAACTTGCGCTGCACAAGTGCAATGGTTAGTCCACATAGTTCATGTAGTTGGCTAGATACCGGTTTTGTTTGCCTTGCTATATAAGGCGGACGGGATTTTCCGCTGCTGCCACCACTGCCATTGAATCCGCAATAAAGGCATGTCAGAGATACCCATGGCTCCATGAGGGTTCTTCGGTCTGCCCAAATCTGTGAGCCCGGAGCACCTTGAGCGCCTGCAATACAAGAAACAACCAGTCCATGTACCAAAAGAGCCATTCTCATCCCTATCCTATTCAGACTGGCTCTCACCACTGGACTGGCAGGCCTATGAACAGGTGCTTCCACCCTAGCCCAGCAAGCAGATCAAATATTAAAAACCACCCAGCAATTATCAGTCACCCTAACCAACACAGGCAGATGCTATACTATACTCTGAGTCTGATGACTCACTAGCATAAAAGATGATGAACAATCAACGGGGTGTTAGATTTCCTATTGGCTGTTCCTCACAGGGCATCTGTCGCTGCATGTACAGGAACAACTCAGGACAAGGTACAGGCCAACCTTTATAAGTTATGTCAAGGTTTGCACACCTTACATCATATAACTAAAATATTTCAACAAGTTCCCACACTCCTCAAGGTTCCTGATTTGTTGTCATGGCTCGCTCCATTCTCCTGGGGGCAATGGCTAAACTGTATTTCAAACAGTAGCAAGTCTATTTGTCACAGGCTCCATCATTACTGCCTTGGTTAAATGTGCTTTACAATGGCTTCTGAAAATAATCCCCGTGTCCTTTAACATATCTGCTGTACAAGTGATTGTGTATTCCTGATGTTGAGGCATTACAGGATGGATTGTTGAGAGTTTAATTAAGCTACCCCATGGTATTGCTGCCTTGGCATCCCATCCATTTTTGTTTGGCCAAATGACCTTTTGGGGTCTTTAACCTGACACAAGCCCCTCATGCAGACAACTGCCCTAGATAGCAACCTCCAGAGTCAAATACAAAAGTAAATTCCTGATATGACTCCTCCAACAGCCTTTGTGATAAACAATTTCCTCTGCCTCCCAGGGCCTTCCTTTTGTGCATACCTTAGATAAAATAGTCCTTAAAGTTTACCAAAATCCCACTCTCTGTTGTTTGAATTGACCAATCCAGCCTTAACCCCGGAATCCCGAAGCACTCTACCTTTGGACACTAATAAAGGCACGTGCCCCAGGTCCTGTCGCTTTCACTGCCTATACCCTGCCTGGACCCTCCCTGTGTGGCCCCATAAGGCCTCGTGCTATGTACTTTCTCCAGGACCTGTAAGTAATAATCTTCTCTATCTCAGTTTTCCTTGTGGTCTTTTATTGAACCATATGGCACCCTGGGGCTCTACTTAACAAAAGTTGATTCAACAAAATCACAATAAAGCTTCTGCACAGCAAAAGAAATCATCAACAAAATGGAAAGGCATCTACAGAAAAGGAGAAAATATTTGCAAACCATGTATCTGATAAGGGGTTAATATCCAAAACATACAAGCGATTCAGAGTCAAATAACCCAATTTAAAACGGGCAAAGGACCTGAATAGACATTCTTTCAAAGAAGACATATAAATGGCCAACAGGTGCAAGAAAGGATGCTCAATATTACTAATCATGAGAGAAATGCAAATCAAAACTGCAATGAGATATCTCCTCACAAGTGTAAGAATGACTATTCTCAAAAAGACAAGCAATAACAAGTTTCGATAAGGATGTGGGAGAAAGGGAACCCTAGTGCACTATTGGTGGGAATGTAAACTGGTACAACGACTATGGAAAATGGTATGGCGTTTCCTCAAAAAATTAAACTTAGAACTACCATAGGATCCAGCAATTCCACTTCTGGGTATATATTCCATGTTCATTGCAGCATTAGTCACAATAGTCAAGGTATGAAAACAAGCTAAGTATCCATTGACAGATGAGTGGATAAAGAAAATATGGTGTATATATACAATGGAATATCATTCAGCCTTAAAAAAGAAGGAAATCCTGCCATTGTGATGACATGGATGAAATTTGAGGGCATCGTGCTAAGTGGAATAAGCTAGACAGAAAAAGACAAATACTGCACAGTATCACTTACATATGGAATCTTAAAAAAAAGGGCATCGTGCTGAGTGAAATAAGCTAGACAGACAAAGACAAATACTGCACAGTATCACTTATATATGGAATCTTAAAAAAAAAAAAAACCTCATAGAAACAGAAAGTAGAATGGTGGTTGCCAAGGGCTGGGAGGTGGGGGAAATAGGGAAAAGGCTGGTAAAAGGGTACAAACTTTCAGTTATAAGATGAATAAGAATGTGACTTTCTAAAGTGTAAAATGGTGACTATGGTTGGTAATAGTATTGTATTGTATTTTATAGTTGACATTTGCTAAGAGGGTTGAACTTAAGTGTTCTCACCAAGATGAAAAAAAGTAAATATATGAGGCGATGGATGTGTTAATTAATTTGATGGTGGGAATCCTTTCACAATGTATATGTATATCAAATCATCATGTTGTATACTTTTAATATATTACAATTTTATTTTGCAATTATACCTCAATAAAGCTGAAAAAAAAGAAAGAGTAAAGAAATAAAATAGTTGTCTAGTAGAGGAGAGTAAATATGGATCTATATTGCTGGGTAGCATTAAGGGCCCACTTGAGGCTAGAGGTCATAAACTTGATGAGAGAACAGTTTTTCTGTTTGTTTGCTTGAATAATTAAATGATTTTCTTCAGCCACATTCAGCCGCAAGGTGTAGGCTCTATGTAGATGGATGGTTGGATTTTACCAGGGACAAGAAAACGTGAGGATCAATGGACTGACTGTCCTAATCAGATTGAAGTTTTGTGGAAATCAGACCACTAGAGAGAATGAGCTAAACTGATAGGAGGTAGTGGTCAGAAAGTGGACCGCTTGCATTGAAATGATGGAGAAGTTGCAATTAAAGTCAATGACCAACAATGATAAGCGAGCAAGTGATTGAGATAGGCCTGGAGACTAAGATTCTTGCAGGAGAGGAATACAAGGAACTGAGAAGGTCTAGGACGCTGGATCATCTATGTGGAGACTGAAATCACCAAGATTTAAGACTGCAGCGTTGAAGAGAATGACAGTGAAAAAAAAGCGCAAATCAGTGGAGTAAGGGGAGGAAGTGCGTGCTCAAGTCTGATATGAAATTCAAAAGGAAATTTTCTTAAAGGATTTAGATGGGGGAAATTGTTTGAAAGCAGTGATAAGATAAGATACTTCTAAGTCCGGTTACGAGAAAACACAGACACTTTTTGAGAAGGCTGCAGGGGAAGCAGTTCCTTCAGGGCAGTCAGGGGATCTCAACCCCAGCACTACTGATGGGGCCTGATGACTCTTTGTTATGGAGGCTGTCTGTGCATGTAGGATCTTTAGCAGCATTCTTGGCCTCTATCCACTAGTTGCTAGTAGCACCACCTCCAGTGTGACAATCAAAAATATCCCCAGACATTGCAAAATGTCCTAGGGGAGTGGGGCAAAATTACCTCCACTGAGAACCTGGGCTAGAGCAAAAGAAGGTGAAGGAAATGTTCAAAGAAGATATTTCAAAATGGGGGGGTGGGGTGGGTGGAGAGGGTTATGATACAAATGAACTTATTTACAAACCAGAAATAGACTCACAGACTTAGAAAACAAACTGTGGGACTATGGTTACCAAAGGGGAAAGGAGAAGGGGGTGGGAGAAGGGGTAAATTAGGAGTTTGGGATTAACATATACACACTATGATATCTAAAATAGATAAACAATTATAAGGACCTACTGTATAGCATAGGAAACTATATTCAGTATCTTGTAATAATCTATAACGGAAAAGAATATGAAAAAGAATACATATATGTATAACTGAATCACTTTGCTGTACACCTGAAACTAACACAACATGGTAAATCAACTATACTTCAATTAAAACAAAACTTTTTTTAATGGGGGGTTTTGCAGATAATTAACCATGAGCCCCAGAAGGCAAAGTGGAAAAGGTGGGTGGGGATAGATTTAAGCTGAAAGTTCTTCTGTGCACCACTCAAATCATACCACTTTGGCAGCTGACAGATCAAGGTCAGTCCTATCAAGGTGTTCAAAGATGAAGGGAAGTTTCTTTGTTTTTTCCAAGGGTGTATCTCTGCTTCTGAAGTTGCTCTCTTTGATGTCACCATTGCCTAATGAAGGACAATAAATGAACAAATGTTGCTATTCCTGCAGCTCTTAAGATTTTAGCTCCACATCAAAGTAGGTCCAATTGCCAGTGATAAAATTCCATGGGTGCACTGAGGTTGAAAAATCCAACCAAGAATGTAATCACAGAAAGTTCTGAAAACTAGGAAAGATGTCATAAATTAGAATTAAATTTAATCTGATTATACTGTAAAAATAATGTTGGTGGTTGAAAATGTTATCATCTGTTTTTTTTTAATTATTATTATAACCATCCCAGTAGGTGTGAAGTGATATCTCATTTGTGTTTCCATAATGACCCATGATGTTGAGCGTCTTTCCATGGTCTTATTGGCCATTTGGATATTTTCTTTGGAGAAATGTCTATTCAAGTCCTTTGCTCATTTTCAAATTGAATCATTTGGGGTTTTTTTTTTTCTTGTTGAGTGTAAGAGGTTTTTGTATACTCTAGATACTAGACTCTCATCAGATATAAGATTTGCAAATATTTTCTCCTGTTCTATGGTTCATATTTTCATTCTGTTGATAGTGTCCTTTGATGCACAAAATTTTTTAATTTTATCTATTTTTAATCTAGTTTACCAATTTTTTCTTTGATTGATGTTGATCTTTCTTTTACTTGTTGATGTTGAAATCTAGTTTCTCAGAACTGGCTTTATGTTACAGGTTAATTTGGCAGTGACCTGTTATGAGTGCTTTAGGTGATAAAATGAATCTCACTGGAAAAGCATTGCAAGTGGGAATTCCTTTCAGTTCTACCACTGAAAAACTTCACATACCACCTTTGGAAGTGACTATTATACTAACACTTTACTCTGAAATTGACAATTAAAGGTAAACAGTTAAGCATTTATCCTTTCTAGTAGGAAATATATTCCAAAGTAGTCAAATAACCTCTAGTTGATGAAGAAAGCTCTTTTTAAAATCTATTATTTTAACAGAAGATTGCCAGCTGGCGAGCATAGGGATAAGACAGAGTTGGAAAGTCACTATTTTAAATAAAATAGTTTTTCAGGCAAGGATTGCCATTAGATACTAAACCCATTAGATGAAGGGTTGCTGGGAAATTGTATATTTGGGTGGTGTGGAGATATTAATCCCTGATTGCCGGCTGGTCAAAAGGGTGGAATGTGGTTCTGCCGGGGAAGGGTTTATACATCACAACCTTGACTCAGTGATTTATCTTGGTATCCATCACTGCTGGTGGGGTGGCCTGACACCACGTGGCTTCTGATATGTAACATATAGCTTCACCCATGAAGTATTCTTGCCAAAAATGTTTAAGTTGAATCTAGTTAAGCTTTTAAAATATAGGAAATATAGAGAATATAGGAGCAAGTTAAGTGACATTATGAGGAAACAATCAAACATATCTAGAAAGAGGGATACTCTACAGTTCTGCTGGCCAGGTTTCTCTAACAAGTGAATGTTACTTGAAAAAGAGAAAGACAGAAGGAAAGAAAGAAGGGAGGGAGGGAAGAGAAAGAGAAGGAAGGAGAGAGAGTAGGAGCACAGGAGAAAATGGGACATTCTAGATAAAAGAGATTAAAGAGATAAAACAAGCAAAGGCAATCTTGGTGCTTGATCAGCTCCAGATTTTAACAAAAAAAAACTTAAAAGATAGTTTGGGGACAATAGTAGAAATTTGAGTATGGACTGAGTATTAGGTAGTATTAGGGAATTATTATTAAATTTCAGATGTTATAATGGTATTGTAGGAAGTAATATTGCAGTTATGTGAGAAAAGTCATTTTCTAAGAGATACATGTTGAAACCGTTATGCAATATTAGGACGTTTCAGTTAATTTAAAACACTTCAGCATTCCACTAGTCTCTCTTTTCTGTGTGCATGTTTAAAACAAACACTAAAACTTTGATCTTAAAAAAAAACTATCACTGAAGATAATGACCTTTCAGGACAGTTCTGCTGCACTGTCAAATCATTAATATAAACTATTCTGTATGTTTGCTTTTACTTTACTCTTATGAAAAAGCTTGTATGATCTCAACACTTCAGTTCTTGGTTAAAAACAAGCAAGTTTTGAGTGACTGGACATTAATCTTGGGTCTGTTCTCTTGAGCTTTGTATCCACAATACCAGGGGCTTGCTGGGAGCAGTGGAACCTATTGGCTAGAGGTGTTAATCCTTCCAAGTTTAAATCCCAACTCCACCTTGTGCCAGCTGACTGATTCACCTTGGACAAGTTACTCTACCACTCTCAGCCTAAGTTTTCTTATCTATAAAATGGAGGCAATAATATCAACTACTCTTTTGGCTGCTGTCAGTAATAAATGAGATAAACTATGTTGATTACTTAGTATATTGCATGGCACATGGTAAGGACCCAAAGGTAGTGCAAGATCTTGGGTAGATGACTCAACTTCCACCTCCGTAAAATCAAGAAATTGGATTGGATTATTTGTAATCTTGTTTCCATCTCTCTCTCTCTCTCTCTCTCTCTGTTGGTGTAAGTGACTTCCCCTCCCTGAGCCTTCATTTCTGGATTTAAAATGAGGAGACTGGAGAATTCATCTAATTCTAATATCTCTAATCACAAGGGTTCCTCCTCTAAATTCCCACAAACACAGATTTGAACAGGGACATTAGACTGAAATAACCAAAACCTCCTCATGAGTGAGAAGTTGAGCCTGGGAAGAGAAAAGGTACTTTACATATTTTCAGCTCCTCCCAAGGTCTGCCTGAGTATTGATGTTTTATTAAATGAGAAAATGTGCATAAAATGAATAGTACATAGATAGTAAAGATGGTATTGATGACATCATGATGATGGTACACATGGTATCATGATGATGATAAGGAGAGAAACAGGATTGCTCTCTTCCTTTGTCAGGAGGTCAATTATAAAAGGGTATCATTTTCCCCCCCAAATGGATTGTGCCTATTAAGTAATGAGGCTTACTTAAAAACATATTAAAATGTCTAGGAAGGGACTTGCCCAATCAGACATTAAAATTTAAAAGCATTTATAACTAAAACAGTGTGGTACTGGTGCATGAATAGACAAAGAGATCAGAGGAATAGAACTGAAAACCCAGAAATAGAATTACATGCATAAGAAAATTCAGCATATGATAAAGGTGGCATCTTACTGAGGCAAAGATGAGACTTTTAATAAATGGTGCTGAGACAATGGGGAAAAGGTAAAGTGAGATTCATTGGTCACACCATACATAAGAAGAAACTGCAAATGGATCAAGAATCTAAATGTAAAATATGAAACTACACAGCTATTGGAAGAAAGCATGGGTGACCTCCCCTCTAACTTCAATGTAAGGAAAGGTTTTTCTATGACTCAAAACCCAAAGGCAATAATAAAAGAATAAATTGATGATGTAAAACAAATGTATGCAAAAAATGCTATAAACAAAATCAAAACACAACTCACAAGCTAGGAGAAAATATTTGCAACATACATCACAGATAAAAAAGGGTAATATTTCCTAATACATAAAGAACTCTTAAAAATTGAGGGACAAATCCAATAGAAAAATGGAAAAGAAACATGAACAGACAATACATAAGACATAAATATATATATATATATATGTTTAAACATGAAAAAATTTAAACTAACTTGTAAATAGACCACTTAAAGAGACTATCGACAAATCTGGGACAATCTGAGCAACAAAATAATTATAACAATGGATTACAACTCATAGAATAAAAAAATATACACAAGCCTATACTGATAAAAATAAGAAATTAAATAAATAGGATGAAAGAATAATGGGAGGACAGAGAAAGCTTTTCTTTAGAGTAGAATTCCAATTAATAAACGTAGAAGTAAAGATGAAAAGATAAAACCACTATTTGACAAATAGCATGGTAATATTTGTTGCTGACAAGAAAATATTATGAGAAGCAGGATACTTACAGAGTCTCAAAAAATCTCTCCACAAGACACTCTTTTTCATTACAGAGAAAAAGAGTCTGAAGCTTGGACGTCGGGTCGGGGCATTCAGTACCAACGCGCAGACGGTCACAGCTCGCCCCGCCCGCGTTGCTAGGCTGGTTTTCCACAAAGCCTCGCAGGGGCGGGGCCTCGTGACATCACAGAGACGCTCCGCCCCCTTACGTCGCGCGCTAGGGAAGCCAGAAGGTTTCTGGCGGCGCCGACGCCATTTTGTCGGAGCCTGCGACCGAGTGGGAGTGGAGTGGAGCGGCCGTTGTTGCCGACTCTTTCCTCCCCCACGACGGTCCAGTCAGCGGGTTGATTAGGCCATCGGCCCTCAAGCCGAGACTTGCCTCTTATTTAGTTCTGGGGAGCGCCTGGCCGACATGAGTGATGTAGAGGAGAACAACTTCGAGGGCACGGTGAGTACAAAGCCGCGGGAGCCGTCTTCGGCGGCGGCCCGATGCTCGGGGTTTCACGGGGACGAGCGCGGTCGGGCGGGGTTGCGGGGAGTACTGAGGGGGCCCGCGGGGAGCAGCCTCTGGAGCCATCGCGGTCGCTTCCTCACATCCCAAGATGGCTTCTGGGTTCCACTCTTGCCCCAAACACCACGGATAACCCCCTCTTCCCCCCTTTTCGGAGACTGACGATAGCTGGACTCCTGGGTCCGATTTCCCCCCGCAGTGTGCCCTCCCTTCTCCCCACCCCGAGGCTTCCTTATCTCTGTTGAGAGGTGTGGGTCCCCGTCGCGGTGGGGCGGGAGGGGACGGCAGGGAGTTCCCCTCCGGTCGGATAGTGGTAGGTGTTTCCTGCGGTGGCGTTTCTGGCGACCCCGAGCATCGTAGAGGGTCTCGGGGTCGAAAGTGCGCGGGGCTGTTGTCCGGGCGGGAAGAAGCTGGCGTGGGACTAGCTGGGGCCTGTGTCTCCTTGGCTCTCTATTGCAGTGAGCGGCCGCGTCTCTGTTGGAACCGGCGGCGTTGCGTCTATAAAGGCGAAAGCCTTGAGGTTGAAGGTGGGACGAGCCTAATGAAGTGGTTAGTCAACGACCGCACCGACCCTTAAGCGTTCTTAAGACGAGAGCTGTGAGGGGAAAACTACGCAAGGAGCCCTTTTCCCTTAATGTCCCTTCTGCTTTCCTTTCACTTCAAAATGAATGTGGAAATGCTATAACGCCTTATTTTTCTAATTCCTTGATACTGGGTTTTTTTTATTCTCTATATCTCAACTTATAATGCTTTTCTTCCTGTGACCTTTCATCTAAAAGCTGACCACTCCTTTGCAGGTTTTTACGGTAAAAAAAAAAGAGAGAGAGAATCTTCTGTCTTAATCTTACATAACTGAGCAAAGTTCATGGCTCAATATTTTTACAATAGTCAATTTATATATATAGTTCTCTAAACTCAAAGTGTTACCTGGAAACTAAAGGCCCTCTCCCGTTTCTCTCCTCAACCCATCCCCCAGCAAAGAGGGCTCGAAGTTTTTCATTATTTGGGGTCGTTGAATTTAAACATCACAAAGATAATGTTATCCTCGACTTAAGTATACTAGAATGTTTAGCAATGACTGAGTTATATTTTCGAAGTTACCTTCATAGTGGAAATTGGTGAAAGTGAGTTAGTGTAAAACTGGAAAGAAAACACTCCCCAGGCAACATGTTCCGGCTCTTGTGTTGGTATTCTAGTCACTAGAGGAAACGCATTAAAAACACTTAAGGTGTGTGCTGGATGGAAAGAATTTTGTCTTTTTTTAGAAGCGTCTTGAACCAGACAGTTAAATCTGGAGGTCGCTTTAGGCTTTTGTTCTTTTTGAGGAAAGAAATTTAAATAGATTAGAAACAAAAAAGCTACCTCTAATGTCTTTAAGATTGGACTTCTCTAATAAAATCTGGAGCATAGATGTAAATGAATAGTTGAACCTCCTCATGTTTTAGGATGAGGTATTAATTGTCCCAAGAAAACTTAAAATCATGTACTATTTGATGGTAGGTAGTTGTAAGCTGCTGCTTGTTTTGAAAATGTTAGGCAGTTATGGGAAGAAAATTTTGCTGTCTATTAATCTTCAGTTAATTTTAGTACAATTTTGGGGGGTTAGTGTTTGGTTTGAGGGGATGAAGAGGACTACTTGTGGGACCTTGTTTTCTTTTAAGGTCATTTTTTTTATTTAGTCATCAAGTCGAGGAATAGAGCAAGTTATAGATAATTTTTGCCATACCCAACTAAGAAAGTAAATATATGTAAGGTTTCTACCCAGTTTTAAGCTAAAATGCATGAAGGCATTAATAATTTATTTTAATAGAAAAAAAGGTTTTTATCTTCCACGCACTTGTAAAGTGTTGTGATCATTGAAAATGTTTTCACGTGTGATACCCAAGTGTGTTTTATTGTGAACTCAGATTGAATAATGAATACATTCACCTGTTATTTTTTTCTTTTGGTAGGTAGAGGTGATTGTCTTTATTCATAATTGGTTAAAGAAGTAGAATGCTGGAAACTTCTGAGGGTATACTTAGTACTTTCCCTTTGGGGGGGGTTCTCTTAAAGCAATTTCATATTCACCAATGTGGTTTTTAAACTGCAGTGATTCTTTTATCTGCTAACCACAAACCAGCAGTTTTAAAATGTTTTATAGAATACAATTGTGTTATCTTTGTATCTAAATGTAATAGCCTTTTAGAGAGGCTTGAAAAAGGAATTTCAAATGATTTTCTCGAGGTATTTTTAAGTGGCTGTTATACTTCAAACTTTTTGACAAACAGATTAGAGAAAACATTGATAGGTCGATACTCAGATTTGCAAATTCAGGTTTGCTTTATTTATATTTATTTATCTATAGGATAAACAGAACACATTAACTCCATCTTATTGATAAGATATTTTAAATTAGAGGATAACTTTCTGAAGACTGCAGAACATTAAAGAAACAGGATGAATACTAATACTTTCATAGCATTTTATGATCTCCTAATTGACATATTTTCTAATTTACTGCTTACAATAATCTTGCGAGGGCTGGAGTATTCTTACCATTAAAAAAATTAAAAACTAAGGCCCAGAAGACCATGTAGCCAGGAATCTGAGATTTACAGGTCCCAGTCCATTGCTCATTGCATACATAAACTATGCTGTGTATATTTTGATTACTTTTTTAAAAAGAGCACACTGCACTTCAGTGTCTCAGAGCCATTAATAGAACTTGCTAAAAACAGCTACAGGAGCTTGATTTTCCATTATAGATTATCTCGCATTTTAAAGAACTATACTGAAAGAACTTTAGGAAGAAAAAGTAATTGGCTGAATTTTGTTATAAATAACCCTAACAGTCAACCAACCAAAGTCCCTTCTGTCTGAAGTAAAACTATTGAGCATCTGCTGCCTTTTTGGTAAATGCCAGGTGTTCTTGAAGGAAAGAGAACTTGAAGTTTGTTTTAAGATGACTGCTTAAATCTGGGTAAAAGTAAGTATGTAATCTAGTGCTATGTGATAGAATTAATAAGGAATTCAGAAAATGAAGCTGAGCAGTTGTGAGGTAGGGGAAGGAGAAAGCTTACCTACTCTGTAAAACTTACACAGGAACCTATGCTTAGGGAAATGAATATTGATTGTAAGGGTGTGACAATGAGGAGGTTGCTAGAATTAAGAGACATACTAGGTTTGACTAAATATGTAGTCAGATAATGGAGGGTTTTGAATTCTAGATTTAGGAATTTAGACTTAATCCAGTATGCAGTAAGGAGCTGTCTATGGAGTCTTAATTCTGGAAGTGGCATAATGAAAGGAATTTTAGTAAAGAACAGAGACTGGTACAGGAAGAGCAGCAGGGCACACTTGAAATATTTAAGGAAGGAGTTTATGAAAAATCTAGTCTAAACTGGACAGCAGTGGGATGTAAAGAATAAGTGAGAGATTTTCAGAGGATCCAGGAGAATAGTGCTGCCATTAAAATAAGTAGGTCCATTGAAGCAGTTGTCTTCGGACACATATGTCAAGTTAACAGAATGTTAAGTGATAATGTCTTTTGGAGCTGGAAGTAAGGTTGGCACTTGAGCTATGACTTTGCATGTCATCTTCATAGAAATAATGAATTGTTTGCTGCGTACAACTTTGACTAAAACTAGAATTTCAACCTCAAAATTTTAGTGTCCTTGACAAAAATTAAGTGGAATGAAAATTAAGATTTTCTTACTGTGTTACTTATTCTCCTTCTATCTCTGTTTTTTTGTTTTTGAATAAAGCTTAGAAAAACGTTGATTCCTTTTTTTCTTTTGCAATGGCCCAGTGTTTTAAATAGAGGTTAGTGATCCTTTATCGTGTAGGAGTGTACCATATAATTTGACAATTGTATGTGCTTTGTAGTATAATTGAAAAAGAAAGATACTAATTCTTGCCTCTTTTTTGGAGCTTGTTCTGGCTTCTTTAGTATCTAGAATATTTTAAAGAGACTTCTGGTGTTCCTTTTAGTATGTGATGGATAAGAAAAGTGTAGAGCAGAACGCAGATTCATCTGTACCAATTTGGAATTTAAATTTGTGTATGTTAAGGTATTTTGTTGAAGAATAGCAGAAATGGGGAAGGGTTTTTTTCTTCTTTGAAACATTTGTAATAATAGGAGTGATGACTACCATTAAAAACTCAGCTTGGTGAGTGGCTCTTTTAAAAACAAAAACAAACACCCTCATCCCTCTTTTTTTTTTTAATACAAATTAAATTGAATGCCTAGTTTACAGATAAGAATGTCAGCACTTTAGCTTTAAAAAAAAACTTCAACTTCAGTTTAATATTATATATCTCATCACATCAATCTGTGAGGAAAGGGTAAGGCTTCCTTTCTTTTAGTAGGAGTAGTATTAAACTTGGGACAGTCTTACTCGTCTTGGGTTTAATTTATTTTCCTAAAGTTAAGTACTATGATGTATCAAATTTTAAAAATGCTTTTTTATTCCCCCATCATTTAAGCAGGGAATTTGTAAGCTTAAGGAAACATTTTAACACTCAAATTTTATATTTGAGGTTCTTTCACTGAAGGGTGCAAATGGGGTCTTTAAAAAGAGCAGTGCAACTAAGAGTACCCACAGTATATAGCTGTAGTTTTGTAGATTTGTCATAGAGACTTCTTATGATTTGTACCATTCCTAAAATGAGAATAAGGAGTCTTGGGATCTGAAGGAATATCAAGGGATTTAAATATTTAGGAATGGGAGTCATAAAAAAATTGTTCGGTTATTTACTTATAGTTTGCTATGTAGTATAACTAATTATGAAATGGCCATGAATAATCAGCATGTTTCCTAGAACTTGTGAACAGTGTGAAAAACCTCTTTGATAGCATGAGTGGGTGCTTGGGCATCAAGAAACTAACCCTGGGACCTTCATTAAAGGACATATGGAGGATATAGCTCAGTGGTAGAGTGTGTGCTTAGCATGGATGAGGTCCTGGGTTCAATCCCCAGTACCACCACTTAAAGATAAATAAACACACAAATAAATAAATTACTTCCCACCCCTACAAAAAAATTTTTTTTGAAAAATATATCCACAAACTGAGTGAGTTAATACTGATTATTTGTTTACATCCCCTGATAGATTTAGCAGGAGAGAAGTGAAGGTGAGAAAATGCTAACCTCCAGATCAGATGGGGAAAAGAATCAGCAAACACTGTTTAAAAAAAAAAAAGTTGAGGAGGGAATAATGGATGGAAACATGATTTCCCATCCCTCCTTTAAGTTACTGCCATACATAGTTGTGTATAACCCTTACTGCCTCATGATTTTCACCAAAGGTGTGAGTGACTGGGCCTGACCAATCTGAGGTGGAAGAGTTCAGATTTTTTTCCTTGAAACTAAGACCCTATAATCATACTTATTCAAGATTTGTAAATACTCTGTGACATTAGAAGATGAGAATGTAAGTAGAGAATTCTGTAACAGGTTCTTAGTTGTTTGATTTTAGTTACTATTTCTTAGCTTTTAATATAGCTAAACCGCTTTAGTCCATTTACACTTGTTTTCCATGCCTTTAAAATTGCCACTTATGTACTAGCTTTTTGGACATTACAAATTGATCGTGGCATATAACCTGACCAGTTTGTGAGTCACATTTAAAATTTGTACAAAAGATTTGTAAATTTTACAGGTAATTTCACAGTAGTGGCATAAATTTAAATTTGATTATATGTGTGCCAATTCTAGATACTTTACACAGCCCCAAAATCATTTCAAACTTTAGAGAATATGAATACATGCACAAGTTAGAATACTTGAGCCTTTGCAGATACAAAGACATCATAAGTCTAAGAGACTGTAAAAGAAGCAGCCTATCCTACTTGAAAGGAAGGAGGCAGAACTGCTCTTTTTGTAGACTGAAATGAAAGAATTAACACAAGAAGGTTTCCCACAAAACCTAAAAAATGAAGTTCTTACTACAATAGATAATATACATTATTTGGGTAATTTAAGTACCCATACCTCCCCTCACCCGCCCATACAGTTTACCTAAATGCACTAGTGTGTTTCTTTGGAAATAGATCTTCAGCTAAAGTAATGGGGAAATGTATTTTGAGAAGATTTGTTTTAAAAGCTTAGACTATATTCATCCAGACTTGAATTTGTGTAAACTTGGCACTATTACTTGGCATCAAATTTGCCTTGCCATAATATTAGAATGGGTTATATATACAGTATAGCATTTATATTCGTTTAATGGGCTTTAAGTACTAAGCATACATATGGTTGGAATTTTTTTTCCATCTATAATATGACACTAGCTGTATTAAAAGACACTGCAGTTGTTTGCTGTAGGAATTGTTCATGTTTTGCAACAACATGTGCATCTGTTTAATAGCCCTTTTTCCTGATAAAAGGAATAGTACATGGTTATTGTGATTATCTACAGTGTGTAAAGTACAACTGTAGTTTTAACACAGAAATTATAGTTCTTAGACTTTCTTGTATTGGGTATGCTATAGTACTCGTGGTTAGCACCTTCCTCTTTATTTTTGGCTGTGTCCTTCAGCTGCCACCAAAAGCATCTTGATAAATAGTTCAAAAAACAGGCAGACACTATTTAAGCAAGTTGTACTGTGAGAACTTTCTGTCCGGCTCCTGGTTTATAGTAGGAAAAGTAGACTGGAAGCCTATTTAAGATATATTTCTGTTAAAATTTGTTGTATGATTTGATTGAGTCATTAATTTGCCTATTTCCACTAGGCACTATGTTTTCAATGTTTGATGGATCTGGATGCAGGTTTCTGAGGAATGTGCAGAATTTCTTGACTGGATAGCTTTAAGTGCAGGTTAAGTGTAGGACAGATGCCACCCTTTCTCAATATTTATTTTTCTGTTTGCGATTTCAATTCCTTTTCCAAATTCTGAGTAGTTTTATGAATTGTTTTGGAAAAAGTTTAACTTATCATTTCATAATGAAGACAAGTCAAAGGTAGAAAAGGATAATCAAGCATTTGTCCATATAGGGCTTATTGTAGCCTGGTTTCTATTGCAGTTTCGTGAAATGGCATTTATTTGTTACCACTTTTTGAGAATATTATTTTAAAATGGTAAATATTAATATGACTTCTGTTTGAAAACTAAACTACCAATTCTTATGACAGGCTTTTTTTGATATAGTAAAAATAATTATGAAAAATTGAAAGTTTTATGCTTTGTATTTATTCTTTAGGTTTAGTTTACTGATGGTTATTGATTTACCTTTTTAGATAGATAAGTCTCTGAATTATTTTTGAAGGGTAAAATGATATTGACATCTTTATAAGTTAAAGGGAGCTGAGTACTGTTTTCTTAACCTTGAACAATTCCGTGAAGAAATCTATACAGATTGAGGTTTTCCTGGTATAAAAATTGAAGGGTAGGCAACAAAGGGGGTTAGATATTTGTGACACCTTGGATAATAAAAAGCAAGCCTTCTTTTAAAATACACTGGTATCTTTTGAAAAGATACTGTTATATCTTAATGCTTTCTGTTAACAAACTAAAAGGAAATTGCATGTTTTCCAGTGGGTTGCTATGTTAGAAATGGAATTTAAAATTTAAATTTTAAGTTGTTAGTGAGTTACCTTGTTTACATTAATTCTTAGAAAATGGTAATTTTTAGCACTATTGAATAATTTTCTGTTTTTATGAGGGAAGACTTTAATATGTAAAATTATGATTTCTATTCTAGTGGCATTAAAGATTGTACACAGTATCAGTACAAAGCTTCCTGATATGTATGTATAGCAAAGGCTGTGGTGATGTTGGTAGATTTATATCTGGTGATGTTTTATAGGAGGGAAAGATACTTTTACCAGCCTATGAGACTTCAATTACAAGCAAATTAGCCATACTTTTTTTGTTTGTTTTTTGTTTTTTAGTTCTGAATATGCTGCTTTTACAGTTTCAGTGAATGAAAAAGCCTAAATTGCTGTGCCTGCTCCAGGCATCTGTCCAGGAATTTAGAGTATCTGAGATGTGAAAGACTTATTGTAGGTAAATAAATGGGAAAAGTTGATATTGAACAGAAAGGCAGCTATATATTTCAGTTTTGTTTTTATCTGAAAAAAATAAATGGGCCTAGTAGCATAGTATAGTTCTTGGTAAATAAGTCTTTTGACATTAAACTTGAAGGAAAAATTTTAAGGAAATTGCATGATAGTCTTAATGGCATAAATGAAAAATGAAATTGGGATAATTATTTACATTAATTAAGGATTAAGTGGACAGAGAAACCAAACTGTCCATCCTACTTTGGTCATAAGTGATTCATGTAACTGTCAAATTTTTTTAAAAAGGCTTTTAACCCATTTTAAATTATTTCATTTGCGAAGTTTTGATTTATATTCAACTTTTTCAGAAGTCAGTCAATTTTCTGTTAAAGGATATAATCACTGAAGGGAGTACAAGTATGCATAACTGCATAAAATATGCACAAACTATGAACAAAAGAGGTGGGATCAAAAATAAAGATCATGATATTAATCTTACAATGAACATTATACTTTGTGGATAAAATTAAGTTTTTAGTTTTTCTTTATTTCTATTAATTTTTAAATGGAAGTACTGGAGATTGAACCCCAAACCTCTTGCATACTAAGCATGCAGTCTACCACTGAGCTACACCCCCACCCCCAAAATAGAATTTGTTTTAATGGCTCAGTTGCAAAAACATATGTACTACTAGGAATTTACAAGCCAAGGGGGAAATTTTAAGAATGCCATGCTTTCTTTTCCCTTTCGTTTTTTTAGTATGCTTATTTTACTTCAGGTGGTATCTTTCTGGTTAAGTCAGAGTGAGCAAAGATTGTGCTCAAACAAAATTGGGAGATGTTAGTAATTTCACTAATTTTCATTTACTTCTTTGAACCTCATGTGTCCTATAATGTGTGAGTTTAGATAGGTGTGTACAAATATTTCAGCCTATGATGCTTTGCTTTAACTATATCTTGATATCTTACCGTGGCTCAGTGAAAGCTTTTTTTAAGATCCCTAAGAGTCTTCAGGTTATAAATTAGTGTAACTTAAGACATAGGTTGGGGGGGGGGAGGGTTGCAGTTAATGTTAGAGTTATGCTTGAATTAAGTATTTATATTTAAATTGTTCACATTTTAGGAACTAGGATGAAATATGAAAGGGGAGGAGGGTGAAGAGTATGGTAAAAACATTTAGAGAAATTCAGTAAATTCTCTTTAATTGTTAGAAACTAGACTTTTGAACAATTTTAAAGATTATAAAATTGTTTTTTTTTAAATAAACTAGTTATTTACACTTTACCTGCTGGCTTTTCCATTTGGTAGATAACATTCTGAACTCCAGCAGAGTTTTATAATCCCCACGTGCTTAAATATACTAAATGTTCTTTTTCCATTAAGGTTAATGTTCGTGAAGAAATTGAAGAGTTTTTTCCAAGAATGTGGAAGATAAATCAAGATAAAAGAAGGCTAATGAAAAGTATTAAAGATCAGAAAATTAAAATTGAATGGGGGAAAAAATTGAACAGAAGATTGGTCAGATAGAAGCACTTGAATATTTTTTTAAGGCTATTTTGAATTGTTTGAATTGGGGAAGAATACACGAAGTATGAAAAATGAAAAACTCAATGAAGAATGAAGAGAAGTAGAAAGCAAGAGTGAAGTAGAATTAAAAGAATCTGGAAGAATGAATGGGTCCTAGGTTAAGTAAATGTATGGTTTATGTTCCAGTGTCTGTATGATCAAGTTGTAGATGAATTTGCATGATTACTTAGTTAATAGAGAATTGGTGATCTGGTTCAAGTAGGGAATTATTGAGGACAGTTAGCAGTATTAACAGTGGGTTATTAATGAGCTGAAATTTTTTCTGGAGGGTGTTGCCTAACCATTTGTTTTTCAGGAGCAATCAATATAAATAATTACCATACTTTAAATGTTAGGTGTTAGGCATCTATGTGACCAGTGCCATTTGTAATACTGTCTTCTTTGTTAGGAGTCTCGCTCTCAGTCAAAATCTCCAACGGGAACTCCTGCTCGTGTAAAATCGGAGAGCAGGTCAGGATCTCGTAGTCCATCAAGGGTTTCCAAACACTCTGAATCCCATTCTCGATCAAGATCAAAATCCAGGTAAGTGTACTTAAAATAATATATGTGTTTTTAAAATGCTTTCCTGGGATTTTTCAGGGCAAAGTCATTTTTTCCAATCCCTCATTTTGATTGCATTTTGTATAGAAATTTCACCAAAGACACAAAATCATGAAGTAGCCTTTTTTTAAAAAAAAAAAACAAACTATAGAGTTTAGAAATTGATAGGCTATAAAGATAAGTTAGAATTATATCTTAGCCAATTAATCTATCTGATACTAGCTATTAATACAAATTAAGTTTGTTGATTGATTTAAATGTGCTTTGCATTTGAGGATTAAGGTTTGGTTTTATTTCAGCAGTATTTGCACAACAAAACAGTAATTTCCTCTGTTGGAGAGTTAATGTACAATTTAGTGCAGAGAAGGTTGATGTATGTATTTTGTACTGGTTATCAGAATGATTTGAGAAACTTTTTGAAGATTCACATTTCAGCTACATCCTTTACTTGAAGATTCTGACTCAGTAGGTTTTGGGTAGAATTTTGGTTAAATGTAATTGAGGGGTGATGGTTCCCAGGGTGATTTGGAGGCTTTAACACTACCATTTCCACTGACAAAAACTCCAGTAAACCATTACAAGGTTTACTGTATCAGATGTCCCAGATGTACTGGTGTGGGTGGAAAAAGATTGAAAAACAACCTGGATAGTTATTTTGATGAGTCATTGTAATTTTTTGATTATAGAAATAATTTATGTCTTTGAGTACAGTGTTCTAGCAAGGGGGCATGAGACAGAAGAATTAAAAGATTACTTTTCTTGAGGTCCTCAGATATATCTTTTTCTCTGTTGTATCTAGCCTAGTACTTGATTTACTAACCACTCTACATATTTAATTAAACCCACATGTGCAGAATAGCACTGGATAGAATTCAGGTATAGGAACAGAAATTAGCATATTTTCATTTTAGGACTCTGGCACTTGCGGTCCTCAGTCTAGAATTCTCTTCCCTCAAATATTCTCATACTACTTGATTCAGTTCTCTGCTCATGTGTCACTGGAGAACATTAAATACCATGCACACTTCTTATTCCCTCACTCTTAATTTTTTTAATAAGATTTGTCACTATCTGATTTAGAGAAAAGGTAAGCACTCCTTAAAGGTTTTAGATTAACATTACCTTTTATTACTACAGTCCTCTTTCAGTATCAGTTGGGGGAGGATTGGTTCCAGGATTTCCTACAGATACTTAATTCTTGGTTGCTAAAGTCCCTCATATAAAATGGCATGGTACAGTTAGGTTTTGGCACCTAGGGCCAACTGCATTTAAAAGTAACTCTTTATATTTTAAGTGACAGGTTTTCTTATTAGTGTTTTTTATTTTTTTAATTGAAGGTGTAAAGTAGTGCTAAGGAAAATGGGAAATATTCTGTTTGGTACTCTTACACACACACAAGTTGTGTTCTTGTACCACCACCCCCATCCCTCCAAATGATTAATTTCTTTTAGATAGTAGACCACTAGTATTGTTTTCATTCCCACTTGGAATTGTTTGCCTCCTTTCAATAAATCTGTAGTCTTAGCTTGATGCACAAGATTTTACACAGTGCTGTCTCAGTCCTTTCTTCATTTTCATTTTTATTATTTCCTTTATAAGTATCCTAATAACTAGCAGATTACACTCTTTTGCAATTCTCCAGTCACATCTCCATGTCTTCTTGCCAAGGAACCTTTGCTCTTAGTATTCCTAGAACACTTTTCACCTGTCTGCTGGTAAAATCTTATTGAGTCTCCCAGATTTATTTAAAGTTTCTTGCTCTTTGCATTTGTAGCATTTATTGAATGCCGTATAGAAGTTATTTTGTCTGACTGTCATTGCTACTCGTCTGGGTGTTTAAGGTTAGATCATATGAATAGTATAAAGAAATTGTTGCACAAATAGGCAAAGTAAAAGGACTGAGAGCAATAGGAAATAAACAGATGAACTAGGGAATCAGTAGTGGGGAGATGGGTGAGATGCTACAGAAAGCTTGAAGAAATGAAGTCTGTTAGACAAGACTATTAGATTAGGTGGGCATTTTAGGTTTTGATGAATTTAGCAGGTGCTAGATTACAGCAAGCTAAAGAAGGACTGGAAAAGAAATGATACATAACAGTGGAGAGAATATAAGATTACAGTAAAAATGTAGGAAACGATTTTATTGTGATGGTATTGGTAGTTGGTGGTTTATTTTGTGTTGGTTTTGTGGTGAAACTATAAAACACTTATAATCTTAACCACTTTTAAGTGTATGGCTTGGTGGTCTTAAATGCATTCATACTGTTGTGCAGCCAGCACAACCATTCATCTCCTTAAGTCTTTGTGTTATAAAACCTAAAACTCTACCCATTAAACAATGACTCTCATTCTCCCCTTCTCCCAGCCCTTGACAACCACCATCTTACTTTGTCTCTTTGATTTTGACTACTCTTAAGTACCTCATCTAAGTAGAATTATACAGTATTTGTCTTTTTGTGACTAGCTTACTTCACTTAGTATAATGTCCTCAAGGTTCATCCATGTTGTAGAATATTAATTTCCTTTCTAGTGCTACTTGATTTTTTTTCTTTTTGAAGAAGACAGGGCCTTAACATGTTTGTAAGGAAAGGTGAGGAGTGACTTTGGAAGGGATAGGCTAGGGAGGAGATGTAGTGATTAAGAGTACAAGAGGAAGAATACTTTTTCCTCAGAAAGAAGAAAAGAGCTGAGAATAAGCAGGAATATACCTATAGGCCTTTGGCATTGTCAGAGGTTTACAAATAGCCAAAGTAAAAACAGTGAGTCACAAAGTAGTAGTCAGTAAAAATTATTGTGCACACCACCACCAAAAAGACAGTTTGCAAACCAGAAGCACTCAAATCAGGTATGGGATGAGGCTCAGTGATATGCTGTTACAAAGCAGCTCATGTAGTGAGAAGGCAGTGTCTTCACAGTAATTGGTGATTAAGCTAAATTAATAATTAAACTGGTTTTGTCTGCTCAGGGAACTTGCAACTGGTGGTTGTTTGCTTTTGATTTTAACAACATTAGTCATTTTGTTCCAGGATTTTTACCTAAATTTATTTCTTTCGAAGGTCAAGGTCAAGGAGGCATTCTCATAGACGTTACACTCGATCCAGATCCCATTCTCACTCTCATAGGAGACGATCTCGAAGTAGGTCATATACACCAGAATACCGGCGTCGAAGGAGCCGAAGTCATTCTCCAATGTCTAACCGGAGAAGACATACAGGCAGCAGGGTATGTGGTTTTTAAAAGTTAATGAAAGCTTAGTCTTTCCTGTGTGTTTAATCACAGCATAATATCTTGCTTTTATGACAACTAGACCACTATTTAAGAGTGGTACTCCAGAAACATCCTTGATTATATGATTATTGTTTATACACATTTATGTATATTTTCTTTTCTTGACTTTTGAGTTGGTAAATGAAATTTGGGAAGAAATGATTTGTTATGAGAATTAAAATGAAAGCTGAATTGAAAATATAGACATTAAAAATTTTACTTTCGGCGTTGGAGGTCAGTTTGTAGCACAGAAATACCAAAAGCTCAGTAGTAATAACAATAGCTAACACTTACATTGAGCACTTTGCAAAGTTCCTCAATGCATTTAATACTCTTAACCTCTCTGTCAGGCAAGTTAACATATTATAGATAAGGAATTTGAGTCCTGATACATGACATTGAGGTTGGTTTGTTTTTAACTGTAGTGGAGTCTATAATGATATTTGAAGTCTGCACATTAACTTTTCAAGGCTGGGTTGTGGGAACATTGAAGGAATATCTTTGCTGAAGAATGAAAATGGAGGAGAGTCTTACCAGCAATTGTAGATAAAGTCAGGTTAAGTACAATTCTATAAGGGATGGAAAACATTTGGATAAAAGTAGAAATGCAGCATTAAACTAAGGATAAATTCTTAGGATACTTTCTGAAAAACAATGTATTCTTTGTGTATTGGGTAAGCTGTTGTTAGCAAAGTATTTAATTTTTGTTTTAATTTGAAGCTTAAAATCAGCATGTTCATTCAACAGGCGAATCCAGATCCCAACACTTGTCTAGGAGTGTTTGGCCTCAGTTTGTACACAACAGAGAGAGATCTTCGTGAAGTATTTTCTCGATATGGACCGTTGAGTGGTGTCAACGTGGTTTATGATCAGCGAACTGGACGATCACGAGGATTTGCTTTTGTTTACTTCGAAAGAATAGATGACTCAAAGGAGGTGATTTTGTTTTTATAATTTGTCTTTTTGAAAATTTTCTGAATGTGCATGATTATAATACTGAGTTACTATTAAAAGTTGAATAATAGCCTCCCAGTTCCATAAACATTATGTCCTCTTTCATTCTCTGACATGATTTAAATTCTGCCTGTCAGTGTTAATTAAAATTGGAATGGCCATTTCCACTTTCCAGCTAATGCTTTTTGGTATGGGCATATCTTGATTGAAATCTGGCCTTATAAAGTGATATTATGTGTTTTTAATGGAAAAAGTGAAGTGTATAAAGTGTTCTCTTTTGAATAAGCCTTATTCATGCTCCAAACAGATGATTAACTTTTTTAAAGAATTAATGTGTTATTTAGGTTTAATCTGTTTAATTTTGTAAGTGTCTAATTAGCTCCTCGTGAATACAGAGTTCTTGTTTTTCTATTCTCTTAATGTTCATCTGTCATTCTAATCTATAAATGAAAAATAATACATGGAAAGAATTGGTACTTTTAAGAGGAGATACTGGGGATTGAACCCAGGGCGTCATGCATGCTAAGCATGCGCTCTACCACATAGCTATACCGTCCTCCTGTTTAGTGACATTCTTAATTTGCCTAACAGAATGATCAGTGTTGGTGATTTGAAATAGTGCCAGGAATCATTATTGCTCTTTGCATGAACAGTGTTTGATTATAATATAAGCAGTCATAATAAAAGTGTATCTTTCAAAAATAATAGAGCTATTGGCATCTTGGTGGATAGAGGCCAGGGATGATATTAAACATCCTGCAATGCACAAGATAAACCACCCATGACACGGGATTAGCAATCCCAAAATGTCAGTAGTGCTGTGAGTTGAAAAACCCTGATTAAGTCTAACAAAATAATTCTGCAAGTTGAAGCATTTATGTAACAGACATTCTAATAGGCACTCCAGTGGGGATTTTTTTTGTATTTGTTTTGTTTTTCACTATTACATATTTGTGATTTGTTTATTCCTGTTCTCAGTTAAGGGATAAAGGTATAAATTTAGAAATACGAGGACATCTGACCTGAAATGAAAGTTGCAAACAGTATCACAGTTTAAAAATGTTTAATATGAAACTCATTTATCCTGTCTTTTGACAACTCCCCCACTCCTGGCCGTAGATTTATTTCTGGGTAAAATAAAATGAAAATGGTGACTTTACTTAATTTCAAAGAATTTTTTTAATGTGTTAAAGTGGTTGAATTATTACTGCGTTTATTTGTATTAGTACCAAAGGGCAAAGTGATAGGGAATGTGAGTACAGATATAAAAACAGGAGCACTTGTTGGCAGATTTAGAAGTTCCTTTGTATTTGGAGTTCACTAGGTGGCAGTGTTTTACTTAAGGAATGGCTTGACTTGTTTGGCCTTGTCAGCTGAGTTGCAGTTTCTGCTTTGAATTGCCCAGACTGAAGCTAGTTACTGCAGTCTTAAAATTATGCGGGCTTCTCTGAGTTGTGTGGTTCCTTCTCTATGGCGGTAGCTTCCCCAGCCTTTCTGCAAAGGCTTGCTTAAGTGTCCATATGTATATTAGAAAACCTAACACTATTGACATAAATATAGCAGCGATTAATATGTAAAATCTTAGCCCTATTGCTTGAGAAAGAAGTGTTCAGAGAATTTTAATTTTTGAAATCCCAAATGGGTAAATGTAAAGTTTGTTGCAGTTTTAGTAGTTTCTCCTTGGTGAATTATGCATGACTTTCTGTGTCTATACTCCTTTATAGGCTATGGAAAGGGCAAATGGAATGGAGCTGGATGGTAGAAGAATTCGTGTGGATTATTCTATCACCAAGAGAGCGCACACACCTACACCAGGCATATACATGGGCAGACCAACTCAGTAAGATTTCAAGTTTCCTAAGCTAAATTTTAAAAGGCAGAAATCCACCAGAAATGTGTATGAAATTTTGATTAATCGAAAGACAAAATTTTTTTCCCTGTAATTAGAATTGAGTTACTTGAGTATATATTTTTTTTAATCCTTTTGTGGGGGGAGTGCCTTCTCTGAGTCACAAACTATTTCTTTTACTTTTTATATATATTTGAGCAGGGAGACAAATCTATCTGAGTGCATTTCTGGCTCTTCTGCTTTCTTTTCTATGTGACCTTGTAAGCGTCTGTGCTTAGAGAAGGGTTTTACTGATACTAATGTTTTTTAAAAAGCCAATTTTCACTTTGTGTGGAACATAAATAGGTACTAAAGGGTTTTTTTTTTAATACCAAAGATAGTATTTTTTAAGAGTGAAAGAAGGAATATAGGCTTTCATTTAATGTGTGAAGCCTCTTGGGAAAACGTAGGATTTGACAAGGAGAGCTTACCGAAAACTAAAGTAAAAATGTTGCTATGAATAGGAGTTGGGAAAACAGCAGGAGAAAGGGCTTAGAGTTTAAATTCATTGCAAAAGGTTTGAACACCAGACCTTGAAATTGTTTTAGTGCCGGACCTCTGTGTAAGGTAGGTAATTCTCTTTAGTGTTCAGGGTTACTGGTTACTTTTTAATTCTTGATGTTTATTTTATAATTAGTCATAAGGACATACATCTTAGGAGCATGGTGCTTCATTTCACCTTATTGAAAAGGTCTTGCTGATTTGGGTGGTGCATTAACAGAAGAGGATTTTATAGTCTGGAAAGTATCTAAGTACCAGTTTGTATTAAATGACATTAGAAGGTAATCACTCATGTTGGTATATAATTTCCACATTTTTCTGTAGTAGTGGTGGTGGTGGCGGTGGAGGCGGCGGTGGAGGTGGAGGAGGTGGCAGACGTCGGGATTCTTACTATGATAGAGGATATGATCGTGGGTATGACAGATATGAAGACTATGATTACCGGTACAGGTAATGTTTTAACTTGTGATTTCTATACTAAATTAGATGATAGCAGTAGTAGTTGGCACTTTTAATTTGTCTAATTTATGTTAATAAAAATACTTAAAATAGATTGTATATGATGCTTTTCTGAGAAAGTGGAAAAAATGATTTTCTCAAAACAGAACAGGTTAATTTTTTGTCTTTGCCAATACTGTTGTAGTATCATTGGCACATAGAAAACTTCATAGTGATCATCTTGGGTCTATTTATTATTTTGAATGACAGGGAATTTTTTATCTGCCTTGGCATAGTGATTATGTGGTATGCTGAGTAGTCTTTTATTTTCCTACAGAAGAAGATCACCTTCTCCTTATTATAGTCGATACAGATCACGATCAAGATCTCGTTCCTACAGCCCAAGTATGTATACTTTTGCTTTTGTAGCATTAAGAAGCTCATTTCTAATGAATGGTTTATTGAGAAAATTAGGGTATAGGTGACTGTTAATAGTTTTAGAAAATATTAGGCAAGTCAAACTATAATTGTCATTTGACTTAATTTTTTTTAACTCTTTTTCAGGACGCTATTAATAAACAATGATTGCAGTTGAGGACATCTTTTTCTCTTTATTTTCTTTTTTCCTCTTTCTCCTTTTTTGTTTAATTCTGGATTTCTCCAAGCTTCTGATCCTTCCTAGTCTTTAAAAAGAATCCTTAAGAAAAAACTTTTGGTTTATTTAGCATCTATACTTTGTCAATTGTATTGCTGTTTTCCACCCCTTTTATTGTATTCTTAAAGATGTAATTTTTGTCATTTTGAGTAGTTAAACATCTGGAGTAAAAAAAAAGAACCCTCAGTGTTACGCTTTTTGTAAATGATTTTTCTTTACTTTTACAGAAAACTAACTCCTGGCTAATCAAATGAGGAAAGAAATGATCTTTTTAAACCTTTTGTGTTAGATATTGTATTAGAGAGATGCATTTACTACAAACTCCTTTTTAAACTTTCTTTTGGGGAAGTTAGTAATACAGAGTAGTTCAGTCATGTCAAGTTTGTCTGGGGTGGCATGGAGCAGTCAAATAGTTGATTGTAGAAAGTTTGAAGCTATAGAAGAAAATACTTGATCATTTCTTTTGAAGAACGGAATTTTTGAACCCTAAAAATTAAGTCATTTTTTAGAGATGAAAAGCTTGTGGACTCCTAAAAAACATGTTGTATTTAAAATACATTTGTTAAAACTTATAAACGTAAAGTGTGATTTTTGTGTTGAATTTATTGACATTTAATTATTAGTGGAGGACAAGCCCTTATTTATTATTTAGAGCAGTTATATACTTTGCTGTTAGAAATTTTGGTTTTGGGACAATGGTTAAGCAGGCTATTATATAGAGTCCTTAGAAGATAGTGTGGGGGAAAGTAGTCTCCTTTCAAATAAAAATGAATTTCTTTGAAAATGGGACTGTCTCTTTATTGTTGTACAATGGGAAAATGTAACTGGATTGATTTGAAAACCAGTCCTTCCTTTTTCCTAACATTTTTGCTTACACCTGCATATATAATCAGTCTTGAAAAACCCTTTTCTTCCCTCCCTTTTTTCATTGACCAACCTGTAAATACTGAGAATATTCTGTACCAAACCTCATGCTAAGAAAAGTAAATAATATGGTTTATTTTTTCAAGAAGTTTCTGTGCTTGTAGGAAACACACACACTTAAGCAGCTGTAATGTGAGAGGAGGCTGTTTTAACAAAGAGGTGGTTGATTTTTGAGGTGACCTCAAAAATAAAAAGGTATAGGAGCCTGAGTCTCCTTTGTTTTCTCCCTCAAAGCAATGGGAATAAAATTAGATAATTATGATCTTTGTATTAGATGAATGGAATGTATGCAGTTGGAAGTGCTTCAGACATCTTTATTAAAAAGGTAACTTTTAAAAATATCTTAAAATTTTTTTTTTGCCAATAAGGGATATCCAGAGAACAAAACAATCTCTTGTTGGTCCCTAGAGAGTTTTTGTTCGTTAAGCCAGGTTATTAAAGACTAGGAATCACTGCCTTAAAAAGAACATTAATTTGTTCACTATAGTAATACTTCAAAGATTTAAGCTGTGTATCATCAACAAAAGTAACAACATTAGCCACAATCTGGAAGAGAATTAATAACCATGTGAAGAGACAGTGAACATAATTAAAAATATGTAGATAGTACATATGTGTTAATGGACAGAAAACAGCAGAGGAGAAAACAAGAGTGAGAGGGACTGAAGTTTAAATAGGGCAGTCCTTGAAGGCTTTCCTGAGAAGGTGAAACAATAGTAAAATCTGAAGGTGTGGAGGGAAGGGAGCCTTGTAGATACCTGGGGAAAGTATGTTAGAGAGTACAGTGAATGTAATGGCCTTAAGGCGGCAACATACCTGGAATTTTGAAGAAGGTTAGAGAGGACAAAGATAATAACCAAGGGCTGGGCCCTCCCTGCTGGGGAGAAGGGATTTACTTACAGTATTAAAAATCTTAAGTTGTTGTTTTTTTGTTTTTTGTTTTTTTGATGGAGGTACTGGGGATTGAACTCAGGACCTCGTGCATGCTAAGCACTTGCTGTACCGCTGAGCTATTACACCCTCCCCCCCTTAATTAAGACAGTTTTTTCCAACTCACTGAAGGGTAGAAATAATGTTGGTGTTAAGGGGTTGGAGGAGTTTTTTGGTTCTAACTCCTTACAACAGTGATTTCTGCTTAATCTTATTTGGGTCATGGAGCCTTTAAAAATTTTGGAAAAAGAAATTTGCACTCTGTCTTCCTAGGAAAAGTGCACTTACGAAAAACAACTGTTTACTTTTAGAATATACACCAGCTTTCTAATAGTGGATAGTTACTTTGTGAAGTGATTGTCGGGAGAAAGGAATTAAGAGGGATTTGCAGAAAACCAGTAGAACATAGAAATTCAGGGACATTATACATATACCTCTCTTAAGGTAAAATCTCCTGTCATATAGAAATTCCTCCTGGATTCAAGAAAAATAGTTCTTTTTTTTTTGGAATATTCAGAACATTTGAATTTCATAGCACCTTGAGAACTATGAAGCACACGTATTTATTATTTCACTATGGTAATTAAAAGCCTATTATTTGTAATATAAAGAAAGTTTTATATGTTAAAAATATGTCTACCCCTGATATCAGACTTAATGCTTTGGCTGTATGGATTTTCTTTTTCCCACTCAGATAAATTTGAAATTAAGTGGATTTAATGGTCAAAATCAGTGCATTTTTGTATTACATGAATGACACTTTAAAAGGTGAGAAGTATACTATCAATAAGGAATGATGAATATAGAAAACAAGAAAGATCTAACTAACTTCCAAGAAAGCAAATACACACACATAAATGGAATAACAGACTTTGCCAATTTAAGCTCTCACAAACACTATGTGAGAGGAAGATCTCTGGAAACAAGGTGTTGAGATATTACTAAAGGAAAATAAGCTTCTATTCTCTGAATTTTATACTACAAAGTAATTTCAAAATGAAATTAAGATAATTTTCAGAAACAATATGGCGAGATAAAAAACTTGATAGAGCCAAAGGGGAAAAAGTAAGACTGCGTGGTATTGGTACAAAATGTGCACACTATGGAGTCCTATATACTTTACAGTGATTTCATGAATTCTGCCCTACACATACTTGTAATTGACCCTAAAAAGGCTGTCCAATTGGAAACCCATGCATGGTGTTCATAAGGTTAAAAAGAAGGTAAGTTACTTAACATTCAAACCAGCTATGAATCCTCACAGCATTCTGTGATGTGAAATCTAGGTACATACAATAATACCCCTTTTTCCTTGGGTATATGTTCCAAGGCTCTCAGTGGATGCTTGAAACCATTGGGTGGCACTGAACCTTACACTACACTGTTCTCTTTAAGTATATACCTGTGGTAAATCTTATAAGTTAGGCACAGTAAGAGATTAGTAAAGTAGAACAGTTATATCAGTATACTGTAATGAAAGTTATGTGAATGTTTTCTCAAAGTGTACTCCCTTGTGATAGTGTGACATAAATTCTGATGTGTTGAGATGAAGTATGACATGGCATTGTTAGGGCATTGTTGACCTGACGATATATAGGAGGATCATCTGCTTCAGGTGATGCTGGATCATGGATCTATGATGATGTCTATGGTTGGGGACCCTAGGCAGGATGGTGTGAAGTTTATCACACTACTCAGAATGGCATGCATCTTAAAAACTTAGAGTTGTTTGTTTCTGAAATTTTTAATATTTCTGGACCGTGGTTGACCTTGGGTAACTGAAGCCACAGAAAGCTAAAGGGGAGGGACTATTATATTTCTATGGTAATTCAATTCAGGAGTAGATTTTCATGGCATAGTTTTCAGACTACTCCAACTATTGATTTTTTGTGTATATATTTGCAAGGTTACTACCTTGATGCATGGATGTAACTGGCAACATACTTTAAGATGAGTTGGAGATAAAGTTGACAGAAAACTTAAAAAAACTCTTCAAAGTGAGGGCCTAAATAGACTCCTACTTCCCCCTCCAAGGTGGACATGGATAGATGGGTAATTGAAGTGTCACAGTTTCAGAATATAGAGTGTGGCTCTGATCACTTTAATTTGGAAAAGTAAAAGTATATATAAAGGGGAGAATAGAGAATGCTTAATTTGTAGCGTTTAAGTTGGAAATGGATGGTGGTGATGGTTGTACAACAGTGAATGTACTTAATGCCAGAGATTTGTGCACTGACATGGAAAATTTTATGTATAGTTTACCCACAAAAAAAAAAAAACAATCCCTGAAATAAATAGCCACACATGTCTAACTTGGTACTCTTTCACTGTGGTGTATTGTACAATTTGAAAGCTGTGAAATGATTAGTTAACCAACTGAGGTAATTAGTTGTAACGGTGCCTGTTACTCCTTATGGAGTAAGTGTCCAGTAAATACATGTATAAATAAATGAACATAGAGAAATGATTGGTAAGGCCCATTAACTTATGAAATTCCCAGTCTAAAAGTTCCATCAAGTTAAAGAGCTGAAGTATAAAAGGAGTATAATATAAGGGATGTAGGCTGAAAATATATTCAATCATGATGACCCTAAAAAGTGGTTCAGAATCACTTTTAATATAAATCTGTTTAATAAAGGAGGAGAAATGGCAATTTAGCAATTACAAAAGTACTGTTAAGTCACCTTGAAAATCCATTTTTCTGGAACACTGAAATCCCTGATGTCAGATAAGTGAAGCACTGTTTGATACTTAAAAAAATTAAAGGAAGAGAAGTCACAATGGAAAGGTTTTTTTTTGAAATGTAAAAAGGGATATGAATTTATTTTTAAGTACTGTACTTTAAAAATTATTTTTGTAAAGTCATACTTGTATCCAATAGAATTTCTAATACAGTTTTAAATTATGGTTTGTATGCTCTGGTTTCTCAGGATTATTTAGGATTTACACTTTTTAATATAAATGTAATAAGTGTGAGACTCAAAGGAAGAAAACAAGAAACATTTCTTGTTGTCTTCTATACATGGATCCTGAATCCATTTTTACATTACTGAACAGGAAGACCTATAAACATTCCAATCCTTACCCCAAATTTGTATAAATGTTTAATAGAGTTCCAGCCAGAACACTGCTGCATCCATCAGGGTGTCATCTTAAATTCCAGTAAACATTTAGACTTAGAAAATTGTATTAATCCACATTTGACATCATATTCACTTAGAAAATATAGGACAGGGAGCAGCATGCAGTAGAGCAGCACCAAGGATTCGACAGGAGACCTTGTAGCAGTCCACATAGCAGTACAATGAAGGTGCAAGGTGATGAAATCCACATCGTGCAAGTGCAGGAGCCACGGCTTTCGAAGTTTATGTGTAAGTAACCAGTATCTTTTGTAACATGCATCCCTTCCAAAGTTCCCACTTCCATGAATTTCCATGCCTAGTTACGTCACTGCACTCAGAAGCTTCAAAGTATGGTGTCCCCATCAGATGTTTCCAGTCCAGATGCAATTTACCAGTCAAGTCATTTTTGCCAAAAGCAAATGTGACAGAGTTGACATAGTATCATCAGGGTGCCAGAGAAACAAATTAAAGAAAGGTCAAATCCTCATGCAGAAAGGAGAAGGGTTTTTGTCAACTGCTTATAATAACCCCAACAAGATGGGAGGGCTGGGAGGAATGGATGAAGTTATTCCAAAGATCACATGGAAGGATGTACTTAGAAATGAATAAACAATCAGAGGAACAGAATCCAGAATAGATGTAAGTACATATGAGAATTTATAGATAGAGATGACATTTCACTGTGAAAGCAAAAGGACAAATCAAAAGATGGTACAACTATTTAGAAGAAAAATTTAGACCCTTGCCTCATATTAATATAAATTACAAGTGGATTAAATGTGAAAAATGAAGCCATAAATTACCATTT